GCAAATTATATAATAAATCTCATAACAATATTTAATTACTCCAATAATATAACTTTACAGCATTTTTATCATTGATATTTTAAAAACGTTTAGAATAACGTTTGTATAATTTCCATAAAAACATTGCAATAAATACAATAATAAATTAGCTGGTTGTGTGGTAGAATCACCAAGCTCAACTATTTCGGTATATGTCTCTATTCCAGTAGATCCACGAAATATCCCATTTTCATTGACAACAATCGATTGGTTATTAATTATTATATCATTTTTGTTGCCGTATTTACTAATCAATATATATAATGCCAATCCATTCAATGGTATCGCTTGCGGGCCATATCGTGGATCAATGCCTGTATAGATGCGGATAGCTTTAAACTGAAGCTCCAGGTCTTTCACACATTTAATTTATCCGTTGACGGATACACTAGTATACGGGTTGACACGTATTTCCGTTTTTAACTTAAACAATTTGCGATGAGAAACGGTACTGGTATTGGCAAAAGTGGACAAGTATCGGACTGCCTTGGTCACATCAGACTCGGTAGTTGTTCCTAGATGCAATTTCACAACGCTAAACAAGCTAATAATTAAATTTGCTGAGATTTGTGTCTTGGTTCGCGTGGATTCGCTGCTTTCAAATGTGTTTTCAATATGTATTTCACATTTCGTTTCAGTTTCCGTTTGTGTGTCAATTGATTCAATCAATTGTGTGTTGGCTTTGTTTTTGATTGTTTTTGTGTAAAACATATCCGCTGTTAACGCTTTGCCGAACGATTCTTTCAATTTCTCTCTCTTTTTAAAATAATTTAAACGAATAATACATTTAGTAATTCATTAAATCAAATAATTAAATAGTATAAAATTAGCCTACCGTAATTGTTGAGAGTAAGGCTATGTGGTCTAATTTGTTTGTTATTTGGTATAGATTGATGTCCATCATAGTTAGTCTCAACGTAGATGAACCGCCGGTGCTCTGACCACAGCAGCGACTGTACCATCGATGAGATGATATACTGGACGCCCGCCACCTTATGGTGCGATTGCGAGCCGTAGTAATACTGGTCTACAGTCTTGAGCCAGAAACTTGGTTTCTGATGCCTAGGAATGTTAACCTAAATTATAAAATTAATTTCACTATCCTAGCTACACTAGAAATATCCAAAGGCAAACATATATCAGTTATACCAATAGTTGCCGTAGTTTTTAATACATTTGTAATTTTAAAGATTAAAGTTTATATAATATTACCTTGAAGTTGACTTTCAATTTAACTTTGAATTATAAAATGTACCTTTAAATGTTTTTAACATTAGTGTATTGTTATATCATTTGCTAGTTTTATGGATGTTTACTATCAGATTACCTAATTAATTTATTAATATACTACCGTTAATATTTGAAATTACCTGAAAATTTTTAAAATTTACTATAAATTTCAGATACAATTATAATTACAGTCTAAGTATAATACTAATTATAAATAAATTTCAATTATATACGCAATTATATCCAGATATAATTGCAGGTGGCCTTAGTGAACTGCAAAACTAGTAAAATTCAAAAATACATAAGTTAGAATTGCATGCAACAATATGCGACAAAATATGGTAATATTGTTTTATAGAATCAATAATAATGATAAGATTTAATCGTTATGATCAACGTTTCCCAGTGCGGGTAAATGGGGGTAATGTGAGGGTAAACTGTAATGTATTGTCTATGGGAGCATATAGGAAAAGCCTAACTTTTATTCAACTTTTGGGACGTCCTGGTTATGATAAAATAAAAAGTTGTTATTACAATGCTATAGTAGCGACATTGATAATATATTTTATATTGCAGAATAATTATTTAATAAATTATTAAACATTGTAAATTAAATTTACAATAATCAATAAAATATTATTACAATATTTAATTACTTCAATAATAAACAGAATTTTGTCAATTGATATTATAACAATGTTTGCGATAATATTGGTTAAATTTCTGTAAAATTATTGTAATGCTCACAATAATACAAACAATAATTATACCAATTATTATCACTTCCAATAAACTAAACGATATGTTTGGGACAATCGGTGGTAAATTGGTTACAGTTGGCGGCAATGTATTGTAAGCTGTTATGTTGATTAAATTGGCCGGTTGTGTCGTAGAATCACCTAGCTCAACTATTTCAGTATATGTCTCTATGCCAGTTGATCCACGAAATATCCCATTTTCATTGGCGACAATCGATTGGTTATTAATTATCATATGATTTTTGTTGCCGTATATCCTAATCAACACATATAATGACAATCCATTCAACGGAATCGCTTGCGGGCCATATCGTGGATCAATGCCAGTGTAAATGCGGATGGCCTCAAATTGAATCTCCATGTCTTTCACGCATTTAATATATCCGTTGACGGATACACTGGTATACGGGTTGACACGTATTTCCGTTTTTAACACAAACGACTTGCGATGAGAAACAGTACTTGTATTTGTAATGGTGGACAGGTAACGAAATGCCTTGGTCACATCAGAGTCGATGGTTGTTCCTAGATGCAATTTCACAACGCTAAACAAGCTAATAATTAAATTTGCTGAGATTTGTGTCTTGGTTCGGGTGGATTCGCTGCTTTCAAATGTGTTTTCCATATGTATTTCACATTTTGTTTCAGTTTCCGTTTGTGTGTCAATTGATTCAATGAATTGTGTGTTCGCTTTGTTTTTGATTGTTTTTGTGTANTTTTGTTTCAGTTTCCGTTTGTGTGTCAATTGATTCAATGAATTGTGTGTTCGCTTTGTTTTTGATTGTTTTTGTGTAAAACAGATCCGCTGTTAACGCTTTGCCGAACGATTCCTCCAATTTCTCTCTCTTTTTAAAATAATTTAAACAAATAATACATTTAGTAATTCATTAAATCAAATAATAAAATATTATAAATTTATTAGCCTACCGTAATTGTTGGGAGTAAGGCTATGTGGTCCAATTTGTTTGTTATTTGGTATAGATTGATGTCTATCATAGTAATTTTTAATTTTATACGATATTCCCTCATCCCTAATTAATTAGTAAAAACAAATTATTATTGACTATCTATTGATATAATTATTATATTATGACAATAAGCATGATCACTCACATGAACTATAACCATCTGCAATGGCGTTGACAATAAATACATCGTTTTGCTTATTAGTATTTTTGATTTTATTGCCAGTTATGAACATAATAGGATACTTTTCACCATTTTTATTAGTAATGTAAACCCGTGTAGTGTACATATTTCTATCCAATTTAAAACTGACCATGTTCCAAATATCAGATGGATTAGTTTGGCCATTCAAGTTAAACCATGAAAATTTTAATAATCCCAAATCTTCAACAGAATAAAGTACGTGTTCGTAAACACCACTACCTGTCCCATCCCGGTATTTTATCTCATAATCAAATATGGTTGCCAAAGTAAGTGATGGACCTAAAATTACCATTATATAAATAATTATTGCGGATTGGTTATAATGCATATTCAAAAGTTATAAAATTAAATTTATATTGTTGAGATTTGAAACAAAATACAATATATACTTGTAGACAAAATAACTAATGATTTGAATCCCAATTATTATATATGAGTATAGAAATTGTTTGAATATTTTTATGAGCATTCATTTTGTGGGAAAATATTATAAATTTTATTCACATTAAATTAACGTTAAATGTAATTATTATTGTAAGAATGAAAAGAAAAATATTAATTTCATTTTATAAAGTGACATGTTTCATGTAAAATAAATTTTGTGAAACACTTTTGTAACATAACATTACATTCATTTGAAAGACATTAACTCGACTGACATTCACTCAAAAGACATTTACTAAAATGATATTTTATCGCGATCAAACTTTACTTAAAAATCGACATACATTTAATCGATAGATAATTTTTTAAATATAATCATTAATATTTTAATGTATTTCAAAAAATGTCTATTAAGTAAACGTCACTCGAGTAAATGTCTTTGGAGTAAATGTCTTTCGAGTGAATGTCTTTCGAGTTAATTCCTGTCAAGTTAATGTCAATCGAGTAAATATTTGTCAAATAAATGTCATTTGAATGTGTTTTGAGTAACTGTGTTACGAATAAATATCATTTTAGTAAATGTATTTCGAGTAATAATTTGTTGCCATGAAATATTTTACCAAAATTAACCCATCCGTCGACAAAATGGAATTCCAGGAAACCAACTAGATTACAGTTATTGACCGTCTAATGTATTAGTCGGCAACGAAGTCTCTATTAGAGACTTGGAGTAGAAAAGCCAATTGTCATACACAACATTAAAATTATTTTTTTAGAATTTAATTAAAACATTAAGATAGATAAATAATTTTTGAATTTTAATCATTTTAGTAAATGTATTTCGAGTAATAATTTGTTGCCATGAAATATTTTACCAAAATTAACCCATCCGTCGACAAAATGGAATTCCAGGAAACCAACTAGATTACAGTTATTGACCGTCTAATGCTATAATCTATTCAAATTTAGTCAACTTTGGAATAAAATTACTCATATAACCATACACATTTGAGAAAAATCTTCAATGTACCATTTTGTCCTCACATATCTAGCTATAAAACCCTGAAGTCATTTGACCGATTGTCAAATTGGTTTAGGTGCTACAGACCCGAAACACTCGGATATAGTGGTGAAACCAATTGTATCACACGTTAAATAGTGTGTAGAAAACTATGCAAAAAATGTTTGCCAAAAATATTTCGAGTCTTATTTATACGAATACTTTAGCGATAAATATAAAAACTCAATTAACTGTACCTCCGGTTCCCCTACCCTTCCCATCGCTAACCAGAGACTGTTATCTCTCTGTTTGGATGCGTTGTTCACTATACAGTCCAACTTCTCTATAATGAACGGCCAGTTGCACGACAAAAGTGTTCATTATAGGGAGAGTTCATCCAGCGGGAGGTTCTGTTATAGGTATAGAAAACCCAAAATATATCTCAAAACCGTTCATTCAAAGGAGGTGTTCATCCAAGAGAAGTTCACTCAAGAGAAGTTGGACTGTATACCTGGTCTTATTGGCCGGTATACCAGCGCAGGGCCAGAAGATACAAAACACCGGTCACGTGGATTACTTTAAAACGACATTAATACCATCGCCAGTTAGCCCAACCCCCACCACCAGCACTACCACAACGCCGGGCTCACCGCCACAATCGCCCATAAAACCCGTGGTAAACCACCACCGGTGCGACAATTCGCGCTGCACAGCGCCCGTACCCACCAAACTGAACGTACATCTCGTCCCCCACACCCACGACGACGTCGGTTGGCTCAAGACTGTAGACCAGTATTACTACGGCTCGCAATCGCACCATAAGGTGGCGGGCGTCCAGTATATCATCTCATCGATGGTACAGTCGCTGCTGTGGTCAGAGCACCGGCGGTTCATCTACGTCATCTACGGCATTCTTCTGGAAGTGGTGGCGCGACCAGAGCGAAGAGCACCGGACACAGGTGCGCGCGCTGGTCAATGAAGGTCGGCTGGAGTTTATTAGCGGCGGTTGGGTAATGCACGACGAGGCCAACACCCATTATCAGAGTATTATCGACCAGATGACCTGGGGCCATCGACGCCTACAGGACATGATTGGCCCGTGTGTTGTGCCCACCATTGGGTGGCAGATCGACCCGTTTGGCCACAGCCGCGAATCGGCCCACTTGTCGGCCATGTTTGGCTTTGACGGCCTGTTTTTTGCCCGATTAGACTATCAAGATAAAAAGCTCCGGTCGGCTGAACAGCGCATGGAGTTTATATGGCAGGGTTCGGGTGATGTCGGCAGGAGTGCCAATATCTGGACCCACGTGATGGCCGGCCCGCTGTACGGCCCGCCGACTGGCTTTGACTGGGAGGGCGACGGCGAGCCCATTATCGACGACCCGGAGTCCGACGACTATAATGTAAACAGAATTGTGGACAAGTTCTTGGATTACGTTAGCAATTATTCGGCCAATTATGCCACTAATCAACTGTTTATTCCGATGGGTATGGACTTTAATTTTTAGGTATAGCGCTGATGACCTACCGGTGCCACCAAATATGATGGCCATAGACTAGCAAATAAATTGTTAACTATGCTCTCATTGTTTAACTTATAGTTGGCTATATCAAATAACAATTATTAATTGTTTAATCAAGCACATTTCCACCCAATACAGTCGGCCAACAACTGGTTTACGAACATGGACAAACTGATCCGGTACGTCAACGGCCGGCAACGTAACGGATCCAATATAAACGTGTTTTACTCGACGCCCACCTGTTATCTGTCGGCTGTCCATCAGTCCAACAACACTCTCACCACTAAAGCCGACGACTTTTTCCCTTACGCTTCGGACGGCAATACCTATTGGACGGGTTATTACACGTCTCGACCGGCGCTCAAACGGTACGAAAGGGTTGGCAACAATTTTTTACAGGCGTGCAAACAGTTGGACGTATTGGCCGGTATGGGCGGCGTTTACGATAAGGAGGTGACTGCCCTACGCGAATGGCAGGCTGTTATGCAACACCACGATGCTATAACGGGCACCGAAAAACAACACGTGGCCAGTGATTACGCCCTCAAACTGGCCAAGAGTATCGCCGGCTGCGAACGGGTGGTAAACAGGGCTGTGGCCAAATTGGCCGCAAAGTCAATGGCCAACCGGACTGTCCAGTCCTTACCGGAGCAGCTATTTTGCCAACAGTTGAATGTTAGCGCCTGTGAGTGGACCGAGTCGTTGAACACATCGCTGGCCGTCACTGTGTATAACCCGTACGGACAGCCGGTGCGGCACATCTTGCGATTGCCGATAACGAATCGGTCGGTACAAGTGCTGGACCCGACCGGAGCCGCCGTCAACCAGACCTACGTGTTTCCCATTCCGGGGCCCGTATTGTCGCTCAACGAACGGGACAGCGAAGCTTTAGAGGAACTAGTATTTGAAGCGCCGGTACCGGCCCTCGGGTTTGTCACTTATACACTAAAACTTCAGGACGCAGACGATTCCCCAATAGCACCGGTAGTGCGTAAAGTTGTCGGTGACTTTTCGGTACAAACTCCTGGCTTTGATGTGTTTTTCGATAGGAACGGACGGTTACAGGCGCTGCGGTTCCGCGACTCGGGCCGAAACGTGTCGTTGCGCCAGGAGTTTGCTTACTATTCGTCTCACTCGGGCACCAATTCGGGCCCAGACCGGGCGTCCGGGGCCTACATTTTTCTACCCGAGCCCAAAGAGTTTGCAACCGATAATGTGATCGCACCCGCGGACTGTAACTACAGGGCGCAAGTGGTGGAGAGCCCGGTGCTCACTGAAGTGCACCATTACATCCAAAAATATCTGTCGCAAGTGATACGTATAGACCATCGGAGCGATACCATTGAGATTGACTATACGTGCGGACCCATACCGGTGGCCGACGAGAGCGGCAAAGAGATTGTGTTCCGGTGGCAAACAGACCTCAACACCGGTGGCGTGTTTTACACCGATAGTAATGGCCGGCAAACGATGCGCCGCCGGCGCGACTATCGGCCCACTTATAAGCTGAATGTTACTCAGCCGGTGTCGGGCAACTACTACCCGGTGAACAATTGGATAGCCATTTGGGACGAAGTGGCCGGTCTGCAATTGACCATGCTAAATGATAGGGCACAGGGAGGCACCGGGTTCAGAGAGGGCCAGATCGAGTTGATGGTTCACCGGCGTATACTACACGACGACGGTATTGGCGTCGACGAGCCGCTCGACGAACCGGGTGTTGATGGCAATGGTCTGACTATAAGGGGTCGCTTTTGGCTACAATTAGCGACAGTTGCCGCAGCGACTGAACTGCACCGGGAGTTGGCTAATAGGCTAATGATGGAGCCGGTGGTGACGTTTAACAGATTGGCTAAAGGCCAGGCACCGCACTATTATAAAAAGCACCGGACCAACTATACGGCACTGTATAACCCGCTGCCCCGTAATATCCATTTGCTAACACTGGAGCGATGGGCGAATCGGACCCTATTGTTACGGTTGGAGCACTTTTACCAGTGGAATGAGTCGCGCGAGTGGTCGGCGCCGGCGAGGGTTGAGCTCCGGGATGTGTTCCGCGAGTTTGTGGTGTACGACGCGGTGGAGACCACTTTGAGCGCCACCGAGAATATTCTGACCACACGTCGGCTCCAATTCCGGTACACAAATGCCAATAACCACTTGTCTCAGGCTTTCAACCAGACTCACAGGTTTGAGCCCAAACGCCATGAGCTAAACACTACGGATCTGTCGGTCATTATTAACCCGATGGAAATTCGCACGTTTATTGTTAGAATTAAGCCGAAGTATTATTGTAATATGTGAATTACAGCTAATGGTTAATTTAATAAATTGTTTTATAATTATTTATTGTAAATAAATTTAATAATGTTTGAATTTATATAAAATTTATATATATTTTATATACTTTATATAATTTTAATTTAAAACAAAATATTCTATATAACAAATGTAATTTGAACATTTTAAACGTATAAACATTTAATAAACAATACACAATAATAATAAGTATTTTGTAAATGAGAAAAGTTAAATTCAAACTTATTTTTGGTCAAAATTCTGAAATATATCTCAAGTTATTTTTGCTTTAATTTCAGACTAAAGTGATACAAAATATATCAAAATACACAACTTTTACAAAAAATTTTCATTATACAAAAATTTTTGTTTTAAATTATTAAATTTGAGCAAACAATAAAGTGAGACATATTTCAGTATTTTACTCAAAAATAATTTTAAATTTAACACTATTTATGCAAAAATTGCAAAATTTTTATTGTTTTAATATTACTTCTATAATAGAAAGTCTAGAGTCCAAATCATTGCTAAAATTCCCGCAATTGATGAATATTTTAATATATCGTTTGAATTTCTACACCAAATACTTCCAATAAATATTTCGATGACATGTGACTAACATAAGCAAGTTAAATTAAGCAAATATTCCCTAGATGATCCGGTTCTGGCTGATATTAAATTTTTTGGTTATGTAGGATTCGAGCATTTATTCTTGAACGAAGTATTACCAACATATATTTATATACCGTATATTATAAAATAAATATTATATTAATAAAATGATCAACCGTCTATCGTATTAGTAGAAATATATTATAATTGAGAATAATTCTATTAACTTATTTTTATATCATTTAAACCATACATACCCAGTTGATTGCTGTAGAACCTCTATTCAACTTGTGCCCAATAGAAATATTATTACAATAACTGTTAACCAGGTTGCTGTTAAAATCTAATTCATGCAGACTATTGTCCACCTGATATAAACCACACTTTCTATTGGGAGGTTTTTCAGCGAAATACAGTCTACACCTTCTTATACATTGCCATTGAGAATTGGCCCGAAACGGTTGTCCACTGCCGTCTCCTTCGGCACCGTTTGACGGGTTTGAGCCGTAATCACTCGGGCTATCAGTTAAAGTAATACCATATGAGTTGATACGACTGCCGGCGCCTTACGATAGCGGACGACCTGATAAGACGGGAAGAATCGGCGGCGGATGTCATGAGAGGTCTGTCGGAGACACACAATACGATTGTCTGCAGCGATGCTATCGATCGCTATATGAGAGACAATACGGAAATACAACCACTTGTTATGCGGACAACGATTTACTGACTATTGAGTTAAAAGTTGGCAATAATATTGTGACGGATTCTGTAAACCAATGCTCCGGACCTTCCAATCGATCGGATATTTAAAATCTTTATTGTCGTCTCAAATGTCCGGCCGATTGTCGGGAAACTATATATTGGACAATAAGAAGAGAAGTTTACGCAAAAGATATTCAATACATTATATATTAAGGTATATTAAGATATTTATTAACTAACCCGCTATCAGTTTCCCATGTTTTTAATTTGTATGCAAAAAAGTTTTATCTTTATGGGTAGACAATAAATCTTTATGGATATTTATATAATATTACATTACAAAAAATCCTGATATACGTATCAAGTCATATTTTATTCTTTACAATTTGATATATAGTTTGTTAAAATCAAGCAAGTAATTTTTGAGTTATAAAAACTTCGAGTATCTCATAGAAAATAGATTACCTCACTAACGTTTGTCTGGCTTCTGATAATTCATACATTAACAAGACTCTCATTATAGTAAACAGCAATAATACACACAATCATTTTACATAATGATTAATTACATAATATGATATTTATATTAAATTTTTGCAATTCAATATTTTTTTCGTTCAACACTTAAAAACTTACTTAATTTAATTTAATTTTTAATTTACAATCAAATAATTGTTTACTATAAATAATAGTCTATATATTAAAATATTTCTGCAATAAAAATGAATTCAATATATTTTATATTCATTCAACTCATTATATGTAAGAAAAATTATTAGTATTTTAATTAATGTTTGCATTGAAATGTGTATCAATTCTAGCGTTAAGTGTATGTATTGTTGTCTGTAATGGAAGTCACGCTTCGATTCAATTCTATCCCAACATAACTGCTATCGGGTGTGGAGTCGGGAGGAAAACAATGCTTATAAACAACAAGTGCTTTACATACCATCCAAACAGTAATACAATGTTTGCCGGCATTCAAAACGGACGGGTAGTCCAGACCGGAGAGACGCCGTGGACTGTGTTTATCACAAATAATTTTGGAAGGTTTGATATATTACATAATATTGGCGCGTTCATTAAGTGGTCGGAGTCTAAAATTACTTTAGGTTAAAATGGATGGCAAATTTTTTTGATAAATGC